CGAATTTGCAGGTCAGGATCCAGCTCGAAGTGCCACATCATCCTTGAATGGTATCCAGGATCGCGTAGACTTCACTAGGATTGGTACGGCGAGACTACAACGTAGGTTGTCTCTGACCTGGTCGTCGTCGTCCAAAGAATGGCTTGTCACCATTTGGATTTCGACGGAGCTCAGCTCAAGCTTGAGCTTGCGGTCTTGCGGTCAACACCATCATCTTGATGTGACCTGATTCTCTTGTCTGAATTTGCCGAAAAACGGCAAGATCCAGCTCTCATCGTCCGACCATGACGAGAGAGGTCAACCATCGGTTTTTCGAACGCAACATCGCATCAAACTCACTCGCTAGCCAATTACGTGAGGTAAACAACCTCCACCTAGTCTCGGCTTGGGTGCAAGTGTGACGAACGAGTTGGGCTCATAACCTGCGAACGGAGGCCGATGTGCAGTACGATGTAGACATGGGATGACACAAAAGAATAAGCTAAAAATTAAAAGGGATTCTACGTCTACCTCGTTCTAGCGAGTCCCGGGAGGTTCACCTCGTGATTGCCAACCACCAGCTGGTTTTGGCTCCTCTCGCACCTGCGGAACCAGAAGAGCCCGCAAGTGGGAGCAATGAGAGGAGGCGGGTGAGAGTTTTCGAAGCAATGAGAGGAGCAATCGAAGAACACAACACAGGACTTACCTGGTACCATGAGCGCTTCTCCGATTGCGGCAGCCAATACTTTCGTACCATGCGGACACAGCCCGACCGTGGCACCATCAGTTCATCTGCCTTTGGGTCAACGACGCTGCTTTGCGTGTTCGGCTTACACGGGGCATTTGCTATCTAGCTTTCTGCCTTGTCCCGAGCGTAGCGTTCGCGATCCTTTGCTTTCTGTTCTGCTTGAAGCTCCCTACGGCGATCGTTCTTTTGTAGCTTATGTACTGGTGTCATGATGTTGGCGGCGCCGAAGCCGGCTGTTGCTGTAGCCACTGGGACCATCTCGTTTGCGTTCATTTCGCGTTGCATCATCAACACTGATCGAATCGTACTTCCTTGCTCTTCTGGGTTCATGGTTGACAAACTCCGGAGTAGACCTTCCGTCAACCAGTGGGGAGGAGACGGAGCAGGAGCGGCTCCTTGCTGGTGAATCTTGTATAAAAACGGCCCGCTGATTTGAAGATCGACGGCCGCGCGCTATGGACGCGCAATTCCGAGGCGAAGCCGAGTGCGGCGCGTACAGTAGCGCGCAGGCCGGAGATCTTAAGACGAGGAGGAGGCAAGATCGAGGCTGCAGGCGAGGCGAAAGGAAGGCCGAAGGCCTGGAAGCCGAGACAAAGACGAGATCGCAGCCGACACCCGAGGCTGCCAATGAAGAGGGCCGTCATTTGTGTGTAATCTGTACAGTGATAATCCGAGACATAAGCTGTTAGATTACTGTAACTGCCCATTGAGGAAACGCAACAATAGCCCATCCTTTGACTATTGACACGTGTAGCAGAAGCCTTCTCCAGTAGGTGGTCATTGAAATTTGAAGATTGACGCAAGAGATCACCCCCGTAGGATTCAGTACTGAAGCTACGGCCGTGAAGATGTCCGACGACGAGTTTGTCCTTCCCCCTGTACCGGCAAGGTCTCCTCCCAGTAGTGAGGATGAGGAGGAACATGAAGACGTGATGGAAAAAGAAGACGTAGAGGAACAGGAAGACGTGGCTCCATCATTGACTCAAGGAACTGCTGCAGCGACACTCCTTGGCTTTGCCTCGGTTGCTCCGCCGCCTCCACCATTGACTCAAGGAACTGCTGCAGCGACACTCCTTGGCTTCGCCAATCCTC